GACACGTGACCTTCCTCCACCTGACTAAACACGCGACAAATTGCGGCAGACTTCGAATACCAATGACGTTCCTAATGTCAGTTTATATCCAGCATGTCCGTGTCATCATGGGAAGCTGCAGGCAACTTCTCCATATGCATCTTCGTCACAAAATCATGGTTGTATGGCAACGAGTATTCAACGGTGATGCTGGTGCTCATGATGACGGCAAGGAGTGCCTGAGTCTTTTGACAAAGCAAACGGTCCTTCGGGCCACTAGAATCCAGGTTAGTTTTGGCGGGAGCAGCCCAAACTTTCAACATGGCAAACTTCATTTCTCAAAAAAATTCTGTCTGATATCAGCGCAATATGGACGGGCGGAATCACACTTGAGGCTTCCAACTCAATGTAGCATCAAAAATGATGCATCTCTAATGCTTAGACTGGGAATTCAAAACACTTGGTGTAATACTGGATGTTGCTGATGAGGAATTCAAGTACTATATGGTTTCCTCGTAACTCCACCAATATTTAATGGAAGGTGTATTTTATCACAGAATTTGTAGAAGTGCTTTACAGCGTTCGATTACAATTGTGTGATAGGCAGTGAATGTCCAAGAACGTTCGAGAAGACGAGTTACAGAAGAAGACGTTTATTCAGTTGTCAAAAATTCAAGGTGACTAGGGAGGTTTTGCTTTTCTGTTTAATAGGCTGAAATAATTAGTTGGTGTTGTCTTACAAAGACCCCCGAGGTTGAAAGCTATCTTCATTTTACAGGTTTTTCCTACTGTTTTGATGTCCGTTAACAAAGGCTGAGTATATCTAATCGAAGTTGGAATGCGAGTTCGGACACTAACCAACGTTTCACTGCGGCGGCTTGCCGCTGGCATGATTGTGGCAATAACCGCATATCAACTTTGTTCAATTTCATTTGTGTGCAATGTTATGTGTGAGTTTATCGTGCCTTTTGTCGGTTATTCAAATTGGTAATAGTTAAGTTGTTGCACAACACTCCCCTTCTAGGGCGAATGTTTTTGCAACCACTGACTTTGGTTAAACAATCCAGTTCGAAATATGCCGTACGGAAAAGATCCTCAGTAAACTTTAAATGATCCGCAATCTTGCACCACAATGAACGCTTCCTTCCTACAAAGGTGATGCTCATTTCATAGGTCAATTGAGCGGTGACGTCCGGGTTACAATACATGGATGACCACAACATCAAGTAGAATTCGCTGCCCTGTGATGCAGTACAATACAGGAAGCCTGATTCAATGAGTTTCGTTTACCCGAACTTTGAGGTGTTTTCATACATTAGATTCAACGTCTGTGCTGTTCTCTTTACCCTCCCCGCGGTAAATTTCGGCACACTGTTCACAACAGCTTTCCGTTTGGTTGCATTTGTCTTTCGGTCTAGTTACAATCAAGTTGCTCGTCAAAGGGATGGCTGATTGCAATATAATCGGGCGGAAATTACATGCGTCAGCAATGCATTGTAGGTAAATCACTTGATGCGAATCAAATACACCAGCCTGTTGTAGAGATTTTCAAACTGGATTACAATGCACTTTAGTTGCTGATTCCCTTCTGCAACGCGGCATTGCTGTTCACGATTAACTATGAAGGTGCAGTCATTTTAGCGTTTGTGATTATAGTCGGTGATTGTGTGTGGAGTGAAATATTGGCCGGATAGCGAAATATTGTCTCCGGCATTTGAATATTATGTGAGTTAGAATATGGGCTTTCTGGATTGAAACCGTGATAAGGGACTGACTCCAACCACCAGAAGTGCCTACATCGATATCTCGTACTTGGAGAAACCTTTGCAG